CAGAAATTATACATTTATCGTCATTGTAGTGAGAAATAAGAAATAAACCAAGCAGAAAGATGGTTTCTAATGACTTCCAATTGCGGAAAAATTCAGAGGAAACAGGATAGCAATGTCTGTTAACTATCAAAGACCGAGGATCTTAGGATAATGATATCGAAACCATTGAATAGAGTAGAGTGTGGCCTGTAGGTCATAGGTCGTAGGTGCAAGGGGGAAGAGCCAGGATGCCAATTGAGAAACGACATTGCGTATGAATAGGCAGCGCCCGGAAACGACCAGCCAATGAAGACTACATCATAAGGACGTCGGTTATGATTTAATTTAATGATTAGGAATCAGGGAAACTTAGAAAATTGGTCGTCAATATGATCAAAGTAGAAATGGAACAGTTAGGCGCATGTACTTACCATAACGTTTTTGCATTTGGGCATTCGCTCATGCAGAAAATTTTGCAGCTTAGCAATTTCTTATGCTTATATCACTTATCATCAAGCTAGCAGCTAGCAGGGCATCGCAAAGCAGCGCAAGAATTGAGATGGTGATTGTAATAGGTAGTTGTGCCCATTGTTGGACCGTACAATTGTCTGAGGTGCAACAGCCTTGCAACAGGGACAGGGTCAAGGGAATGCAAATAATTGTGTCAAGAGCATTTTTACACCCGAAACGATGGCATTATACTGAAGTGTAAGATTGGGGTTTCCAGAAATAAGAGCGAATCTCCATCGGATTCAGAACAGACATCAAACAGCTTCAGCTCTGCACACGGCTGTGTATTCTTGCTCTGCATCGGCCAGACTTTGCTTTGCTAGCTGCGCCCAGCCCTTCATCACCGGGAGCTTGAGCTTCGGTGTCAGCTGACCACAGCAAGTGTTCCAACAAAACAGCACGAGGGAAAAAAACAGTCAGCAGCCATGTCCCCCCAGACACGCGGACTACACGCAGAGCAGTTGGGTCCACTTTGAGCCCCCACAGCTTCGGACCATTTCCGCAGTTCGAAAGAAAATATCAGCCAACCAAATTGCACCAACAAGACACACCTTAAGACATAAAGGGCAAACCTGGATGGATTCAATCTGAACCCCTTTTGTGTACCAAGACCAAAGTGCAACAATCATTTGGGCATCTGCTCAAATCTGTTCCCACATCCTGTCCTGGGATATATGCTTAGATTATGATAAAAAAATTGCTCAACTCTTCATTATCCTAATGAAAATTGCACAGGAATGGATTACCCAAACCAACGCAAAGAAGAGTACCACACTCTGCCTTGCCCCCTCAACAAAACTCCGGCCCCAGGGCCAGGCAGCCGCCCATGGTAGTTTGTTGCCCTTGGTGCCCCATTTTTGCCGTAAGCTCACCGGAGTGCCCAGACCTCTGATGCTTGTTACACCATTTTACACTACCACATGGATGCAGTTAGTTGGGTAGCCGGGTAGCCAGACCTTTGCCAACATGGTTGGGCCAAACATGTTTAAAAGCTGTAGCAAGCGGCAAGGTGTTTTTTAGGGCAAGTGTGCCATATTCAGCCATATGTCTTTCTGTACAGCCCCTTTTTGGCCTTCGGCTCTTAGGCACTCTGATTCCATTTGCCTTTGCATTTCTTGGACAGTTGGAATTTGCCTGTGTGTGTCACACAGGGCCAGCCGCGGCCAGCCGCAAAGTCCATTGCCTTGCTCTGAATCTGTTCAGATCTGTGCATGTCCAGTCTGCTGAGGGTGGTTTGTTTGATCAAGGTAGTACAAGGCAGTCTGAAGTAGCGACAGGCAATTCTCAAACAACATGTTTTCTGCTTGCTGCTTGCGGTAGCTTTAACGGGTAGCTGTCTTCTGCATCATCGGGAGCCTTTCTGGAATTGCTGAGGAGTGGTATGTGCTTCATGAGACATGTGGCAGCTGGTGGAGTTCCGCGCAAGACACCCATATCCCTGATGTCCTCTTGCACTGGTTCATTTGCAGAAGCATCTGTGTTGCAGGCGCAAAGGTTTTTGTCCTTGTGAATGCCATATGATATCCATTTGCCATATGCAGGTTGTCCCCAAAATTGTATTTCTTTCTTCGAGGAGTCATAGTTATTATATGTGTTAGGGTTATTATAGCCAATATCGTTTTTTTGCAGCAAGGCGAGGGCAGGTGTAACAGATGAAAGGGACCCCATTTCTCGGGACTCTTATATGCCATCTTTCCAGCCTTGCCTAGCCCGGCTATCTTGTCTTCATGGCTGTTTGGCTTTAGATACATTAGCTCTTGTGGTTTTATTTGAAAATTCTTGAGTCTTGCCCGGGTGTTGGGCCACAGTTCACCCCATAACCTTTGCCTCGGTCAACATTTTCAGGAACAGTGTGAAGCCAGCGTGTGACATGGAAGTTGTGATGATTGGCATGATTCTTCAGTCCGCAACACATCGCTGCAGCGCCAAGTCTATGTCTATGTCATAGAGTCTATGTGAATGACTTCCGTAACATTCATCTGTATAATGATTGATGTTTTAGCGTGACTTCAAGAGTGTAGTGTAGCGTAGTGTAGTGTAGTGTAGTGTAGTACAGTGCCACTCCAGCCACTCAAACCCATTTGCGTACATAATCTGTGAGCTTATGAACCCCATTCCCAGTGTTAATGTCAATGATTCCTGGATTGTCAAGCAAGTCCGCGGAAAATTACTTGTTGCATAGGGCAAAGCTCTTCCATGTGATTGTCTCTTTGCAGGCGTTGGATATTCCTTTCAAGGCGGTTGGCGCCTCAGAGGCCAATCCTGCCTTCAGATCCGTTATCCAAGCTAATTTCGCTGTTGAGCACTTGCACTCCACGATGATGCAGCAAGTAGATGGAGAGAAGTGCCTGCTGCATGCAAAGACTTCTTGCGGTTGCAGCTTGCAATCCTGTGACTTGTGCATCTTCGGGACGCCTTGTAACCCGTTCTCGGAGATGGGGACGAAGCGGTATAGAGATGGTTCCATCGCACAGCATGTTCTGGCACCCGTGACTTTCAGGGATGCCAAGAACATGATCGTATCCGGCAACCACAAGGCTATTGTCATGGAACAGGTGGCAGGCTTTGACAAGCCTGAATGCGCAGGATCAGGGAAGGATACCACACCGATGCGGAGGCCAGGTACTTCAGCAGCAGCTGCAGCCCTACTTGCTGCTACTTATTGACTTACTTAACTGCTATTGCTATTTCAGGGCTACTCACGGCTTATTTTCCAAGACTTGCTGCCTCTTCTAGTAGTTAAGTGATCTAACTAGCAAGTGTGAGCATTAACGCTAGACCGCTAGTCACTCTAGACTCTAGTCACAGCGCACCCAAGACCGGGGCCACTAGCACTAACTCACTAGGACTTGGAGCAAAACAAAATCAGAGATTGCATGTATTTTGACAGCCAGCTAGCTGCTAGCTGGCGAAGTTGTTCTCGGGCTTTTTAACACTTAGCCACTCGCCGCCTTTCAGAAGTGCTTGTTGTGTTGTCACTGTCTGATGCCATGATTTGCTGCTGGAGGTTTATCTATTCAGTTCAGAAAGCGATTGAGAACGAGGGCCTCACTGGTTACTGGCTCATCACGGTGCGCAGCCGGTACTCAGACTGGGTGCAGCTGCGCAGGGACAGGACCGCAAGTGCTTTGCAACATGTAACCCTACAAGGTTGATCCTTTCATCAGTTGAACATTGGCCTTGGCAGCTAGGCTGTAAGGTTGTGGCTAAGGCTTAGGCCCGGGCTAGCGGCTAGAGTCTAGAGTTTGAATGGGCTAAAGTTTAGAGTGTAGGGCGCGGTACTGCAGGTACGATCTAGAATCTAGAATCTAGACTTGGCTGCAGATGTCACAAACTGTGCAGTCAGCATACAGGTCCCGAGCTTGTTGCTATGCCCTATGCCCTATGCCATATGCCTGGCAAGAAATGGTAAGGTAACAGTGTAAAGCTAGTGTCAGGAACGATGTGCTTGCGGCTTTCGCAAGAGTTCAAGTTATCACATTGTTGCAGCTTGTGTTACTTTCGACAGGTTGTTCAGTTGAAAGTTGCAGGTAGCAGGTAGCTGTTTGAAAGCCACTGAGTAGCAGCATAGTTCCAGCGCTCCACATTTCAGACTACCCGGTGATTACTCTTTCAGGAGCACACAGGCGCATAATTGAGGAATGGAGGTGAGATCTTGTGTGGAGATTTCATTGCATTGTGCAAGATTTGTCACCCATGTGCGGAATGCAAATTCTATATTTTGTGTGCGAAGGCTCGATGAGTGCTGTGAGGAGGTTTGCTCATAGCAAATCATGAAGTTGAGGCCATTCATTAGGGTTACATCACAAATTTAGAGCATGTAATCATGAACGCATTCTGCAATCACCCAAGAAACATCAGGCTGGATACTTGGGGCCGTCAACCCCAGATCATGTTTGCCATTGGCATGGTGTTCCTGTTATGCTGTGTGTGATTTGCAACCGCATGGTTTTGACTCCTTGACCAATGGAGTTTGAAGAACGGAGGGGCAGAGGCCGGCCTCCTGGATCTGTTGCTTTTCGTCAGAGGTTGCGAGCTTTGCAAGAGCAAGAGGATCACCAGTTAGCGCAGGAGCGTGCAAACAATGAGGTGCAAGATGATGAGAATGAGAGACTCCTTGAGAGAATGAGGCCCGTTTGGGAGGGTCGCCGCAGACAAGTGGAGATGTCCAGGCAGGATTCTTCACAATCACTTTCCCTGGTAATGATGCTGATGACATTGAGGGAAGCTCCTCATCCACATCAGTGTTGAGTATTGGCACAGCTTTGCAGCAACGATTGGCAGAGCTTGCTCAGCGATCAATTTCCTCAACAGATGCCTGCAAAGCTGAAGAGAAGAACTTGCTTGAGCATTTGTATCGCAAAAACCGCCATGTGAGCAGTCTAAGTTCTGAATCGCAGAATCTGAACAGTGACAGAAATCATTTGCGCTTGGTACTTCAGCATGCTGCAGCATTCTTGGTGCTGTTCTCCGGTTACCTGGTTGGTGTTGTGCTGGCCCGAATCAAAATGATGGCGAACACTCATGAAGCGCTGTTGCTTGTTGTGCGCCGAAAGTACGATGAGACACCGTCAAAAATCGCAGTGTCATTCCAGGACGGGGAGAATGGCAGTGTGCAGGATGTGTCGGGTGGCAAAGCCAAGGTTTTGCAGACAAAGCTGGATGTTGCCATGGTTCTCAAGGAGACAGCCTCCGGCAAATTTCTTCAATTGTGTTTCACATGTCCAACTTGGTTGCAATGCCTGGACAGAACCACTGCAGAAACCACTGCGGCTGCGCAAGAGGCAATCCTGTCCAGCCTGGCCTCTCTCAAGGAGAGCAGCCAGATGTTCAAGTTAATGGTACACCATGTAGTCACGGATAAGTATTCGGCTAATCTCAAGGCTGAATATGTCCTCAATTCCAGGCTTACCAAAGGCATCACATCCCATGTGACATGTGATATTCATAAAGTGGCAACAATTCAGGCCAGAACTTTACGATTCGTTGATCCCCACATTTCTGCCATGATTGGAGGGGCCTTGGCCATGGGCGAATCAGGGTGCCTCCTTGTTCTTCGGAAATGCCTGGCCAGTGTTCTTGAAGACAGGTTACAGGTGGTCTATGGTGAACCACCAAATGACGAGCACACCTTGAAGTTCAGGCAGGCAATCTTGGACGCTTTTTTGCCACTTCCCAAAGGTACTTGGAGTGATGTGATGAGAAGCAAGACGAAGAAGCGAATCTACCAAATGCGGTTCATCATCAACTTTTTTCTCAATGGCGACTTGCAGGACGTGATGCCAAACATGTTTGTGTAAGGTTGAAGGCCTAGGCCTAGCCTAAGCCAAGCAGCTAATGCCCAGGGCCCAGGGCCTAGAGCTTAAGGTCTGCTGCGTTGAAGCTATTCCAGTATTGTTGAAGATCATGACCCCAAACACCCAGAACTCTTTAAAAGCTTCATCCATTAACAACAAATCTACAGTGAATCTACACCAATAGGTCACCAACATTCCCACACCACTTCATCCTAAATCTGTACACGCGTAAAGCATAAGGCAAACATTCACCTTTCAAGCTTCGGGCCTGGCTTAGGCTTAGGCCCTTGATCCGGTTCAGCTGTTTGCAAGGGCTTATACTTGCAGGGCTGAGGCTGGGAATGGCTCACGTCTTCGGGTTTTGAGGTGCATGCCTGCATTCTAGCTGCTAGCTGCTAGCTCTAAGTCTAAGTCCTAAGGTTCTAAGGCTCTAAGGACTCTAAGGACTCTAAGGCTCTAAGGGTTTGAAAGCTGATATGGGAATTGAGAGCAGTCTGAAGCCTTGATTTTTTGTTGGGGTAGTTTGTGTGGCTCGGGAGTTCAGCGTTCAGATCCCAGGGTTGAATGGGCAAGTTGGAGATTGGGCAATGGTTTCTAAGGATTCTAAGGCCATGTGGGTTCAGTGTATAGGACTACCCAAAGGTTTAACTTTAAGTCTCAGTGACCATGCTTGAGGTGATCCGTGGGGCTGAGGGGCATACTGTTCTTGAGTTTTTTTTGGGGGCACTTTGTAGTTTTGTGCTGTCTGCTGAAGGATGGAGACCGTGTGCAGTTTTGGACGACGGATTGGCGAGCAGACAGAGCTACTGTGCTGAAAGCGATGGTGCGCTGGCTTGTGCCAGCATTGTTGCCCACAAGGCCTCCAATGTTTTACAGGTCACGCTGGACAGGGTTCCAGGGCAGCTACGAGTTTTATGGACTCCTGGCATCGCTTCACAATCTGCTGAGGCCAACCATTCTCCATTACTTGGATGGAGATTCCGCAAGGCCTGCCCCAGATGCTGGCAATGCAGATGCCGGTAATGCAATGGCTATCCAAGACCAGGCCGAAAATCCAGCAGCTATAGAAGATGCACGCCCGGCAGAGCAGGACAATGCAGAGCAGCAGATGAAGACTGTTGCAAATGATTTCGATTGGGCTGTATTCCGTCTTCAGATGAAACAAAAGTTGAAAAGTTGGGTTCAGACAGATCCAGCGCCAGTTCTTTTGGTGCTGGCTGTGGCCATGACTTGCATTTTGCAGCTTCTTCACAAAATGCTGATGAAAGGTTCCAAGAACTGGGAGAAAGCTGAAAAGGCAAAAGTTGCCAGAGGTGAGGCGCGGACTTTTGTGGCTTTGGAGTGTTGCAGGCAAACTGACTTGATCAGCTTCCGTAGCCAAATCTCTGAAACCTTCCAGCGCTTGATCCTGGGCATTCCACGCCAACAGCATTCGCAGCATTATCAGCTGCTTTTGTTCAGACTTCTCTCAAGCCTTGCATGTGCCACTGAGCATTATGTTGGAATCGCTTGGCGGGGATACCCCATCAAACTTTTTGCAGCCCTGGATGACGACTATAGCTTCATGAAAGAGAAGCAGTGTGTGCTGTGCCCTCTCTCGCAGCTGTTGAGGGAGTCTTTTGATGAGCGGACTGTGGAGGAGACTGAGTTCAAACAGATCATGCTGTGTTTGGCTTCAATCTTTTCCACAGAGATCTCTGATGTTGAAAGCAGACATGCAGCAACGCGGCGGATTAATACAATCCGGAGTGTGCAGCGGGCAACAAGCCAGCTCATCACCGTGAGTGCAGATTGGGTCTGTAGGAACAATTGCGTTGACCGCCGTGACTCCCTATACGAGAAGACGGATGCAAAGACAACAGCAAACCCTGTGCCTGGTGAGTCTACTGAGTCTACTCCACCAAAGCCAAAATCTCACAGAGCCAGTTCCTGGCATGCTTTTCTGAGCGAGAATTGCAGTGAGAAGTTCTCAAGTGCGAATGCCAACATGTCTGAATTGAAGGAGAAGTTCAAAAATTTATCCCCGGAAGAGAGGCAGCGCTACCAGGCAATGGCAGACTTGGCCAAGCTTGCTAGGGAGAGAGGAATCAAGAAACCATATGGGGAGAAGGCGCTGCCTGCCAAATCCTCTGAAGCATTGGTGCCCGAGGGTAACGCACGAATCTTGGATCAAAGCTTCGATTCGGGTATGCAGCTTGTACGGGCGCAACAAAAGGCAAGAGATGTGGCCTTGCAGGAGTGGTCTGAGTCTATAGAGACTGCATTGCAACAATTTCAGGAAGATGATTCTGTTGCCAAGCAGGTGCTTGGGCAATGCGGCTCCATGATGTCCAGCAACTATACTCCAGCGTTGACAGGTTTGCCTGGGGCCAGGATTCATCTTCCTGCGGATGCTTGTGGGGAGGCAGGCCAGGGTCGGGTAGTCCAAGTAGTTAAGTAGTTGCTGGCTTTGAGTTTGAGCACTTGTTTGTGCCTCAGTAACTGACTAAAGAAGGGGGTGGGGATTTGGAGTTCTCCCTTGTGATGTATATGTACATATAAATATGGAGTGTATGGAAATACGAAGTTTCCCGAAAAAAAATGGGGTGTTCCTCTCCCAAATTTCTGGATTCAACAATTCAGCAATTCTAACCTACTTACCAATGATAATATATTTCTCCCAGCATAGGGCATAGGCATAGGCATAGGCCACCCGGAAACATCTGACAACCCTGAATTTGCTTCCTTGATTACCCTGATGACCTCATGCACAATTTACATCATGTACATGCCTGCAGTGCTTCAGGCAGGTTGCCTTTTTTGGTGGCCTTGTATTTATGAAATCTAGCGTGGCTTGGTGTGATGATCAAGCGGCGTGGGCAGGTTATATTACTAGTATCATTAATTATTACTTCTAAAACAATCGCTTTGGTGAGCTCCCAAGATTTTTTCGAATTCTTGTCCTTTCAGTTAAGATGTGAATGTTTTGGTAACTTTAGTGAATCAGTGTCTCATGATGGATTCTCATAGGCAAATGTTCCATGCAGTTTCTTCCGATATCCCAGTGCCAGAGGAAGTGCTTTCAGGCCACACAAAATTGAGCTGAAAACATGAAGCCATTGAATGTGTGTGGGTGGCTTAAGTATCTAAGAATCTAGGATGTGGTAGGTTGCAGACTTCAGTGCTGTGTAGAGGGGATGGGTCCTGATTGAAATCCAAATGCAGCATGCACATCACTTGCAACAAGCGCCGTCGTCATTGTGTACTTTCAGCTGTAGCTGTAACTGCAGAGTCAAAGAAACAGTTGATTGTTGAGAGGCCCTGCAAAAAAGATGTGATGCGCATTGCTGCCACAACGACGTTTGAGGTTTTAGATGGGTGGGGATGTGATGTTGTTGTTGGGAAGCTTTGAGTGTCTTTCATGGATCATTTTTATCCTATTCAGTTTTGCGAAATTCGCTGGCAAGGGCCGATGTAGCAAACAGCGGCTATAGCAGCAGCAGCAGCAGCAGCAGCAGTGCAGCCATTGTAATCACTGTAACCCCCAGGCCCCAACGCCTGAATGTAAATGATTCAATTACTGATTACAGCTACCTGGTACCTTGTAGCTCACCGTCAACAGCCTGACGCCTTACAGTGGCCGTGGTGACTGTTGTGCGTCAATCATGCTGACCTCGTTCTATTGTTCAGGTTAGCCTACTAACCTACTATGTTTTGGGACGCATGCCCTGTGAGGCCCTTCTGAGCATTGGTGAGCACCAGGAGATCCGGACAACGTTGCAGAAAGAGTGGAAAGGCATGCGTGACATGATCTTTCATGAACAACAAGCTCCTTTGGGTAACGTGACATCTCAGCGCAGCGTGTGCCAGAAACTCGGCATGTGTGTTTGCGATGGAAGTGGATATAAGGCTTTTACCTTTCACAAGAAGCTTGTGGGAGTTCTCAGGCCTCTGTTCACGCCTTTGCGACAGAGAAAGCAAAAACAACCTGATGGATCCACCAAGCCAGTTGAATTCTCAGCTGCTCAGAAGGAAAAGCAAATAGTGTTGAAGTCTCGCAGAAAGGTGCTCAACGACTCATTCCTGGTGATTCGGTTGGACCACAAGCCATCTGCAAATGTGATACAAGATGCTCAGTATGTCCACCGATCATGGTCTGCTCTCGCTCGGCGAAGTTTGGGACAGGTCTCCACAGTTGACAAGCCGAAGGTACCTTCTCTCTGGTTGCACTTGGGGTATGTCAATTTGACCACATGGGAAATGGCTGTGCTACCTTTGCGGCAGGATGGGGAGCCAGATGATCAGGGTGTGCAGCGGCTGATTGTTCATGATCCTGCAGCAGACACCGCGTCTCTCTTTGCCAAAAGCATAGATTTCGATATCACATGGTCATTGCAAGCCTATTCTGTCATCAATGATGGAAGAATGCTGGGGCTGGAGGAAATGTGCCCAAATTGGGTGTTGGTTCAAGAAATGAATTTGGACGCAGTTGAATTTTGGCATGGGTGGCTGCAAGAAAGCAAGGTGCAGAAGGAGGCCAAGTCAGCCCAGCCTCCGCGCAAGCGGGGTGGCCCAGCAAGATCTGAAGCGAAGGCCAAGAAAGCCAGGCTCACAGATGTTGCGCGCTCATCAGGGATGGGGCTGCGGATGCTGGGCATGCTGGGCCAGATCCTGCTGAGCCCGCTGTGCCAGACAGGCCAGACGATGGCCTTGACACCCTGGAGCCTGATGAAGATGAGGAGAACAAGTCGAAGTTAGACGAGGAGGATAATCGATTGCATGATATCATGGATGACGTATCCCAGGCAGACAGCATTGGCAGTATGGAAGCTCTAGATGTAGATGCACCTGAAGTTGTTGCTGAGCCAAGCAGTTCTAGCCGTCCAGGACCTGCTAATCCTGAGGCTGGAGCCGGCAGCCATGATGGACCGGACACGGAGCCTCCTGCAAGGGCTGCAAGGGCAAGCGAATCTCACCACGAGGAGGGAGACAAAGGCCCTCGAAAAGCTGCCAAGCCAACGACCGTGGTTTCCATGGGCATGCATGAAATACGGTTCAATGCAGAATCAAACAGTTTCATGGCTGTTTGCCGGCGGAAAGAACACAACTTAGATGGATCTGACTGCAAAAAGGTGAGGACAGCCAACAAGCCTTCTCGAAATTTCCGAATGAACCCAGGCCAAGGAAGGCCCCTTGGCCTTTTGGCTTCTTGGCTTTTAGCTGCGGATGCACATGCGACTGGCTCTGAGCACAAGGATGCAATTGATAGCATTAGGAAAGCAGACCGAATGAGAGGGCGGAGGCAGTTCATGCTGCAAGATGGTGCAAGCGAGTTGGCCACTCATGAAAGGGAACGGCTAGATGGGGAGGAGTCGGAACCAGAGATCATCAAGTGATCTCTTGAGTCAATGCAAGTTTCATTCGCGATGAATACGCTGGGGGGCTTCACCTTAGATCACAAAGTGATCCTCGCTCTAATAATGAGTGGGTTAGCCACCAGGCACTGCCGCAGTCAGTTATCTGTTGCCAAAAGGTCAAAAGGTGGTCGTCCCACCTCAGCTTGCCACAAAGATGAGGTTTGGCCAAACATGACGGTCTTTTTGAGAGAAAGCGTATGCCATACTTGACGGGCCAGGACATTAGGAACTGCTAGTACTTGCTAGGTAGGACTAGGGCCCCCTGAAAAAAAGGATCCATCAGATTTGGGCAGACCCCATGTCATTTTTTGGCTGTTGTGCTTGTTTCCACTATTAACTATTACAAGAAAGCATAAGCAGTATTATCAGAACAGGTTTATGACCACTTTATTAAACCTCTCTAGTTGCTTCTAGTTACTTTCTGTTCAGTTGCAGAGTGCAGGAGTGCAAAGCTGCAGTGAAACGAAATTTTGTGGGCCATTGGATGGAATGTGATGGCTCTCATAACTGTGAATCCAACTCACTGCAACTAGCCATTGCAACTTTCATGGGTGAGCCGTAATTTAGCACACCGGGTTTTACGAAATGTTGCAGATTCTGGTATCTGCTATCGTTGTGGTAATGCTCTGAGAACTTTTCATGCATCAGTCCCTGGCTACCTCGCGGTTTCATTGAAATACTTGTCACTGCAGGAGATGCATTTTTATTGGGTATTCGCATTAGAAGGATTCCAAAAAAAGTTTGCATCAGGAAAGCAGATTTTGCTTCCGTGTGCCCTTCCCATTTATGCCCGGACCCCATGCCATACCACTATGCATAACATGGCCTTCTCCAGGATCTATTTGGTCTGGCTGCGCAAGGACAAGTACACCGAAGAGGACGCAAGGCGACTGCATCGCTACCACAGGACTAGTATTGAGCACTCTTAGTAACTGTAGTTGGCGATGAGTGGCATGGGAGTGAGTGTGGACCTGTTCCAGCTGCGTGATTGGGGCTAGCTGGGAAGCTCAGAGTATCACGGTATGAAGCTGCCTGATTAGATGACTGTCTACCCGGCTACCCATTTGATGATGGCACACTTGACTGCTAGACATTTCGTAAAGAGAGATCTCGAGGTTCCTGGAATGCGATCATCTCTGAACAGTTTCATGAGCTTGCTGTTGAATTGTGTGCGTTTGTAGATGTTGCGCAGGAACTGCTGCAGCAGCAAGCTGGGGCTGGGCGACCACGCGAGTTGTCGGAGCTTCTTCTGCCCGAGGAGAGTGTCCAGCGGGAGAAGGTTTTGGACACGTTGGGCAAGCGAGTAGCTTTGCTGATTATGAGCAGCAGCTTGTTAGCAGGTAGCAGGTGGCAGGTAGCAGTGTGGTAGATAGAAGTGGTCCCGGGTAGGCCAGGTGTGTAGTGACCTGGTAGTCCTGGTAGTCACTAGAAATTGGTGGTAGTATCAGCAACATGTGTTGTCAACACTCTTTAAACCTTAGAGCCATTCCATATACATATACATATTTTCACAGCAGGCAGCTGGTCAACAGCCGGTGCTAACTGCCAGTGATGCTAGTCCGCTGTGATAATGACATCATGTGTGCTTCACAGGGCAGGGTTGATTTCATGAAGGGCTGACAGCTCTAGTTACTCTAGTTCAATTGTTCCCCTAGGGCCCTAGGGCATGGGCTTGCAGACCAAGGTTTAGCTTCCTGGTTTTGATGTGAACTCTGTAAAAATATGATGTCAACCTTATGAGCGGAACATTGCATCGTTCAACAACATCAGTGGCCAATAGATTCTATTCTATTTGATAGGTACTATAGTATAGGTCCTCAACAAGCATAAAGATGAGCTTCAAACCCCTTGCCCTTATTCATACAGTAATGAGCAGTTCTCAGTTCTGCGCCAGGAAATTAACGGCTCATTTGGATCTGAAGAAAGGACTTGTTTGAAGCATGCTTTGGCTGGGTACTTAGGACTTAGGATTGGAAAGCTACACCATACAGTATCAATATCCACCCCTATGTCTATGTCAGCGCATAGGTATTCAAATATTCTATCTGAAGGCCGTAGTGTGCGCCAGTGATGGTACTTGGAAATTTCAGCTTATGGCAAGCCCATTTCACAGTTGTTCATGGATCCCATGGTTTCACTCTGCAAATGTTTTGCAAATCATGTGAGCTGGCATTGTCATTGCGATATGACTTTGTTCTTAAGTATTTTTTGGGAGAACCTGCATGGCGGCTATGTCAGTTGTTTTGTCAATACTATTGTTCTTACTGGGTTTATGGTCTATGGCAATGCTGCTAGTCGTGTAGAAAGAATGACCGAATGTGGCTGCGGCAGATGCAGCGGCTTGCTGCTTGATTAGTGTGTAGGCGTAGCGTCCTCAAAGCATATTGCCCACCAGTAGTTTGGAGGTTTGTGTTGAAGGTAGAATGGGATCCTCGTGGTTTTGGGTGTTTTTGAGGTGTCCTCAAGTTTTGAAGATTTCTGCCTGGCTTGAAGTCTAAAGAGTCTTAAGAATCCAAACTTGGACTTGCTTTTTTCATCATATATGTGCAAACTGGAACTTCTTGAGACAATGAGCATTGCAATTACGGCGATATGAGCATGCATTACCCACCACATGCTTGCCAAATATGAGAACAAGCAGTATCAGTAAACATTCAATGGAAAAGGTTCAGCTTGGACTTGAATGCCGCTGTAAGACCCTAATGCCCTAATGATTCATGATCATTCCTGGGCCTAGTCACAGTCACCTAGTCCTTAGTGATCCAGTGGGCCCTAGTGAGCTAATATGAAAAAAGGTGGCAGGATTTGGGCGGCGGACTTTCCGAAAGGGTGAAAGAGGAGGATGTCAGCTTTCGCAGCTTCATCAACGCAAAAGAAAAGGAGGCTGGTTGCAGCTGTTCAACAGGTGGATCGCAGACTTGTGCATGGTGCCGGCATCTGGATGCCCAACAGGAA